CCATAGTAAGGTGTTTGTAGAGCGTTCATTTACAAATACATTAAAGAAGAAGGTTAACTAATTAATTACCTTTAATCCAGAGAAAGGTGATGATGGTGATGATAAAATAAGCTGGTGTCATGTTGAATCTCAAGAACTGAATGAAGTCTTTACAGTGCTTTGAGAAACGGAAGGAGGAACAGGAAGTGATGTAAAGAGATCAGCGTATAAGATGAGATATAAAATAGTCTTCCAAGAAGCCAGACATTCATTTAATTTTTGAAGTGGTCTGTAACAATAGTTCTCCTGTTTGTCTTATTTTGAGTTTCTCAGTTAAGATACTGACTCCATTTTTTATTTGTCATTTATCTTCTAGCATTAAAAAAAACATTTGGATTGGCTAATTACAGTATGATTACTATTTTCATCTGAAAGTCTTTTATTTTAGTATATAGGATGTTCAGTTAAGTTTAAAAATGGTTCTCCAGGTGTTTTAGATGTGTATCAAAGCGTTTCTTTGGACACTGGTTACTTTTGCTATTGTAGTGACTTCTAAGAAAAGCTGTCATAATGATGGCTAAGGTTCATGGCCTATCATTATATGTTTCAAATGATGAGCCATGTATGAGATCAATGAAATAAAAGCAAATGTTTTTTACAAAGATTCATGTCACCTTCTTAGGATCATCTGCCAGGCTGTGTGAGACTCTTCTCTAACTATTAGGGATCAGGTGTATACAGTATGCTGGCTGACAGGTACTGTTGGACTGGTTACTGGACTGGACTGGTACAGTTTCTCTCTCAGATTTCACAAGCAGTTGTTTTGTCTGATCTTGGTAGCTTGAGTGTCCACGGTTTTGTGTGGAATCTCGTGTCTGATGGGTGTTTTCACCTAACTGATTAATCATTTATTAGTCATTTGCAAAATTTTTAATGGTAAATATTTTCTGATTTCCTTTGCCAGATGTGGCTGCTTTTTGGCTGTATTTGGGCTTTTGAGTTGGTCCAAGACTTTATTGAAAAGTCATTTGTGAGTTGATTACAAAAAGCAGAGAAGATCTGAAGGCAAACAGATCTTCTGTTTGGTGCACAAAAATAAATAAAACTTCATATAGAAACATAATGTACAGAGCTTAGGTTGCAATCTTACCAAAAATGAATAGTTATTATTCATTTGTTGTGTATTTAAATTGTATCCAAGTTGCAAATCACCCATGAACGACTCTCCAATATGAAGATCAACATCACCTGTGAAGCCTACATCCAGTTCTATTGAAGACTGTTGTTAGAGCACTGATACTGTGTCACATGGTATCTGTGGTTTCCTGTTGGGGTACTCATATCTGCTGGATCATTATGGAGGTTTTTGTATTGGAGGATGAGCATATTTATCACTGTGCATACTTGCTGCTCCAAAATATTCTCCGCTGTCTTCGGGGTGTTTTGGATTCAGGATGTGCAGATGACCAGTTTTCTCTCCATCTCCGCTCACACTGAAACGACTTTCAAAACCCGGCTCAACTTTCAGGGTTTTATAATTGACATATGCAACCAGTTTCATGGAGGTGTCTCCTGCTGAGCGGTGATACCACAGAATTGTGTCATAGCTCGAGATGTTATGAGTTAAGGTCAGGTTTATTTGAATGTTTGGTTTTCCTAAGAGTTGAGTTGGAGACTGAAAAACCTGTTTTTGTTTATTGGGGTAAACTCCTGTAAAGAAATAAAGAAACACTGTTAGGTGGTGCTGTAATGTGCTGCTGCTGGAGAAGAAAACCTGTGCATGTCAGCTGATTTCTGGGAAAATGGTGAAAGTAAATATTTATATACCACCTCCAGTTCTTCCATCTGTAAAGCATTTTAAGGGGATTCATTTACAAATATATTAAAGAAGAAGGTTAATTAATGAATTAATTACCTTTAATCCAGAGAAAGGCAATGATAAGATAAGCTGGTGTCATGTTGAATGTCAAGAACTGAATGGAGTCTTTACTGTACTTTGTAAAACAGAAGGAGGGACAGGAAGTGATGTAAAGAGACCGGCGTATAAGATGACTGTTCCACCCTTCTGCTGCCCCTAATCTCTTTGCAGGGGCAGTGCAAGAGGGTTCAGCTGTTGCTAATTGATCACACCTAGTCAGGTGTGGATGAAGGCATACCTGAGGCAGGCTTTCAGGAAGGCTTACTAGTCTTTGTCATAGTGGTACCCAATATTTTAGTCAACTTGTTATGGAATTTAAAATAACACCTCTTCTCTGTGAAACTCTGGTATTAGTCTGTGGCTGGGTGTGGTTTGCGATGCCACTGCAGGTGAGATGGACACACCTGCAGTGGCATCTACAATCATGCCTCGCTGGCATGTTAGAGGTGAACAAAACACAGGCAGGGTTATGGGCTGGTACTAGCAGTTGTTTTGTGTTATGATCTTAACCGATCTTCAAGTAAATATGGCAGTTTAAGCCACAAAATTAGAATAATTGTAATTTTAATTCAAACTGTTTAATGCAGACTGTCTCCATGTTGTCATGTTGGAATATGACAACATGGAGACAGTCTGCATTCATCAGACGGAGCCAGACGGGTGGATTTTTCACTCCAGAGAACACATCTCCACTACTCTAGACTCCAGTGGCGGCACACTTCACAACTCTTTGCATTATGCTTGGTCATGTAGGGCTTTGATGTAAGTAAGATAATCTTAATCTAAATTAATCTAAAGGCCACATGAAATTTGGAGGTCTGCAGCCATTGCATCTGCAGAAAGTTGGTGACCTCTGTGCACTATGCGCCTCAGTATCGAGTGACACTGCTGTATGATTTTATGTTGCCCACCACTTTTTTGGCTGAGTTGCTGTTTTTTCTAGTTGCTTCTAGTTGACATTATACCACCAATAGTTGACTGTGGACTTGTTGCACTGATGGCATACTGTCAGAATACTATGCTGGAATTCCTGAGACTGAGCCCTTCTTTCACATTGATTTTATGCACCTGTGGCAATAGACGTGACTGGAACCCCTGAATTCAATGATTTGGATTGGTGAGTCAATACTTGTGGCAACGCAGTGTATGTCTGAAGGGTGAAAGGAAAGCAGTAGTGTAATACATGTGCTGATAAGCTGGGAACTCGGTAAACCACAAAAACAACCCATGATTGTATGGGAGATACTTACTCTTTAACCTATATTCAGGGGTGAGCAAAAAAGAGGTTTTTGTTAAGAGAAGATAGCTGTTTGATGCAGTGTGCTTCCCTGGCTGCACAAAAGTAAGTCGCAGTGTGCTCAAGCGGTTTAAGGTTGATTATGGTAAGCAAGCTATGCTTTTTCTCTCCTTCCAGATCTCCAGATAATTTGAAATGTTTTCTAAATGGCTCCTCAACGCTGTCATTGTTGAACTTTGCATATCCATATCCAACAAGTTTCAGAGCCGTTTCTCCGCGTCGCTTCTGGTACCAAAGCATCACTCTGTAGTCAGATTTTTCATGTTTGCACAGAATCTCAACATTGGCATCAGCCTTTTTGATGACAGAAGGAGACTGATGGATCTGAACCCCGAGTGAAAAACCTACAAAAAAACCCAACAACAACTTAGATTTACTTAAACAATGAAACAAAATAGAAACTTGCTGATCTAGAGGAAAGTGGAAATTACCCATAAGATGACCTAAAATAAGTAAAATTATCATTTTAGTTCTATATCCTGTGCAGCTGCGAGATAAATGTCATACTGATGAGGGTTGTCACTAGTATGTATGTTTAAAAAAAAAAAAAAAAGACATGAGGAAATGACGTATGTATCACATGACAGGGATCCCAGAGAGCAGCTGGATGACTGAAGGTTGCTTAAAGACATAAAACCACAGCTGATAAAAGATGTATGCATTTAGTTTTTGTGTAACTAACAGGAAATCTGCCTCAGTGTGCATATTGCGCTGCACAGTAATACACCGCACTGTGCTCAGACTCTTTTAGACCCGCTATAAACAGAGACCCCTTCTTAGCTGTATTTCCACTTAAATCTCCAGTGATGTTGCAATACTTTTCAAAATCTCCTTCATATTTTATTGTGCTATAGTCCACATATCCAATTAGTTTCAGAGCTGTGTCTCCAGGTGACTGCTGGTACCACAGCATCACTCTGTAGTCAGTTTTTTCATGGGTGCAGATTAGTTGTACATCATCACCAGCATTTCTGATAGCAGCAGAGGGAGACTGACGGACCTGAACTCCCAATGAAATACCTGCTGTAAGCAGAGGTTGACACATCAATGATATAAAATGTGAAAGCAAAGATTGTAAATCGCATATAAGTGTGAAGCAGTTACCTGTGAGGAAAAGGCCAAAAAGAAATCTGATCATTGTGTAGAGTTCTGACATGAGCTCCAAAAAAATATGCTGTATCGCAGCATTTAAATCAACAGAGTCTGTGTGGCAGGTGCTTTCTCACAGAGCTGGGTGTCATTGCATGAAGAAACCAGTGTGATGTAGGCAGAGGAGGAGTGGCTTCATGTGATTTATCTATATAAGCTCTCCTTTTATTAGATTTCACAACAAATGATGTTTTTGGACAGCTTTCCTTATAACAAACATAAAAAACAGTCACAAAATACGTTAGCCAATGAAAACATGATTACATCAAACCACAGTACAACCACAAAAGCAGGTGTATGTGATCAGTTTATTCCCTATCTTCTTTTTAAACCACCGATGATTCCACGTTGTGCAGTTTTTGTAAGGTTCAAAGAGCCTTTTTGTCATTGTGCTTCTCTCGCAGCACAGTAGTAAACTGCATTTTGCTCTTCTCCTGTAAGTTTAACTATGAGAGAACTCTTCTTTGCTGTATTCCCAGTCAGGTCTCCAGAGATGTTGAAATTATTTTTATATAGCTCTTCCATTGTGACATCTTTGGAGTATAAATACCCAATGAGTTTCATAGCTGTGTCTCCAGGTGGCTGCTGGTACCAGAGCATCACCCAGTAGTCTGTTTTATTATGGGTGCAGAAAATCTGAATTTTGTCACCAGGTTTGCCACTAGGTTGTGCGATAATATCAGAGGGAGTCTGATGAACTCTAAGACCCTCACAAACACCTGTATGAAGAAAAAAAACTGACTATTATTAGTTATGCTCTGATCAATACTGAACAAAAAAACTAAACTAAATGTACAGTATTAATCAAACATCAACAAATATAGTTGAAACAAGTTTTTACCTGCCAGGCAAAAGAGGAGAAACGTGATCATTTTGAGAAACTGCTCAAAAAGCGACTCAGACTACACATGGGCTTTTGCATGAGATGAAAGTGACTAATAGTGGCTGATAGTGATGGTAACTGAAGTGATAAACACAATTACTCCCAGACAGAAAAAGGCTTCAGCTACTTGGGAGGAGCCAGGAGTTCAAGTGAATTTATGAGGACTGAGAGAGCCTAAAAGAAAAACCCAGTTAATCAAAGCTCCAGTCAGTATAAGTGAGGCAAAAAGCTTCTGTAGTCTTCTGTAATCTACATTTTGTGATGTGATAGATGGAGAGAAATTTATCAACTCAGTGGCTGTATAAGTAATTATCTCTTACTCTTAGTAAAAGATTATCATTGAACAAAATTCATAGTTGACATTTAAAGTAGTTTTGTTTGCTGTGAACTCTTTGTTTGTGCTCCCTTAAATCTTAACTACCTACTTTATATTTCATATGCTGCATGTTAAGGTGAAGTATTTCTTGAGCCCTATAGTGCCACCTGGTGACATGATATAAAATGCTTGTTTTTTCCCCCCAATATACATCTAATTGATTAGCAAACAGTTTTTGTACAGCTTCTCCTACTTCTCACATTACTGTGTCTGCCAACAGCACAAAAATACACCCCGCTGTCATTAAACTGCAAGTGTTTCACAGTGAGAGTCCCAATGTCAAAGTTTTTTTTGCTGGCTAAATATTTTGCTTCAGAGATATCTCCATATTCAATTTTCCCCCCAAGAAGTTTGGAGAGGATGAAGGTCATGGTCTTTCCCGGTCGCTGAATGTACCAGTATGTCTGGATATAGGTAAAGCCTTTGTTATGGCTGCAGTTCATCTCTGCAGAACTGGACACATAACTCCAGCTGATTTTAGGATATTGAGTAACATCCTGGCAGTGACCTGTGCAGAGAAAATACAACATTCAAACAGAATTTGATATCTTCTTATATAATCTGAAACAAAAAAGTGTATTTACTCATTTTTTCCCCTCATTTAAACATTTTCCATATTCATTGATGAACTATTACAGCAATCTGTTTTTAAAATAAGCAGAAAATATCTCAGGTATTAGTTGGCAATATTTTAAATAAATAGTATAAATGTTCCAGGTATTCCTTGACAGAGGGAAAAAAAGAAGCCATAACAAAAATAAACTTGGTTGTTGCAGTGCACACCATGACTATAGCAGAAAATATTTGCATTTCAAATGTTAATTATTAATTACTACCTTGAAGCCAAAGGGGAAAAAGTACAAATCTAATGAAAACCTGCATCATGATAGTGCTCCAGTTTCCTGAGATGCTGCCACTGCAGATATACTGAATATCTGAGGGCATTTAAATACTGTGTGTTGCCTCACAGAAGGAAGCTAACTTTGGAAAAAAAGGAGGGGGAAAAAAACCCTCTTCGCAGGTGCTGGTGCAGCACCGTGTGCTGAGGGGGGAACACATGGTGAGGTTTTTGTACTGAAGTGCAGTGCTTTCTAGCATTGTGTTGAGTGACAGCACAGAAGTACACTGCGCTGCTGTTTGGGCCCAGTTTTTCGATTGTTAGTGTGCAAGTCTTATTTTTATTTGCATCTCCTTTTAATTTCACATCAAGTCCTTTCTCAGGATTATCCACGGTGCCGTACACGTATCCCAAGAACTGCAGATGTCTGTTGTTCATTTGCCTATACCAGAGGATTCGATCATAGCCCTGAATACTGTGAGAACAGTTTATTTTGACTTCTTCTGTTTCCTTTGAAATGTACAGCTGAGCTGGAGTCTGGTAAATTTGGGAATTCAGAGAAGAACCTGTGGAAAAGACAAAAAAAAAACCTCTGACTACAAATGTGACAAATTTTCCACATGTCAGTTTGTCCATGTATGATTGACTAGATTAAGTTGAGTAAGTAACCTTTATAAAAACCAAGAAGAGCAGCACTTTAACAACAATATATATTTGCAGCTCCTTACTGAAACAAGTGCCAGAGAATAAAAAAAAAAGACCAGAAATAAAGTGTTTAAGTTAATACAACCGATCTACTTCTTCTGACAATTAATCCTAGTTTTAGAGACCATAGGAACCTCATGGTTGCAAGCAAATACCTCTTTAAAACATTTTAAAGAATAAATACAATACTAATTTTTACCTGAAACATGGAAAAAACCAACAAGAGAACAATACAAGAGAATGATCATCATTGTGTTCTCTGACTTCAGTTTAAGAGCCGTCTGGTTATAGGTTAGCCTGTTAGGAATACAAGAGACCAGGTTTTTAAGGTGGGTGGTGTCTTATGGGTTCCTGCTCTTCTATATGTTATGTTAAATGCTGCTAACCACCATACACTGCTGCCTCAACAAAGATATGCTGCCATCTTGTGAAAGAAAGTAAAACAAACCCGCAAGAATATATCCAAAGTTAGTCAGAAAACAGTCCCTTTGGAAAATCATTAACTTATTATTCATTAGTAGATATGAATGTGTTCACTCATATTCACAAGACAAGTTATTTGTCACGTTATTAATAATTTCCCCATTCACACTTCCCTTGTGCTTTTGGAAATTTGTTTTTTCCTTTTCCGTTTCCGTTTTTCCCCGTTTCCCTTGTGTTTTGTGTGCTTTTGCAGCATTTTTCTTATTGCTGGTATTTTCTTAAGTCCAATTTGGCCTCTCAGGGCCACCGTAAAATTTCCTGTTCTGCGGACATGACAGTTGGCTACTTCAGGCCCCGATTAAGACCAGGCTCCTTGTCAGTCACTTAAATTGATGAGATGCAAGTTTAATGATAAATACATATTGATTAATTTCTTTTCCTTTTTTTAAATTTTATTTTTAACATGGTTAAAACCAGCTTTTTAATCATTTGAATTTAGTTGTTTTCAGTCCCATTGCCAAAGGTGTGTACAGTCAAGCACATAGCCATTTAATCTGTCTTTGACAATGTTTGTGGAAAAATGGGTTGTTCTAAAGAGCTTCAAGCACGGTTCATTAATAGGATGGAACCAATGTAACAGTCAGTTAAGTGGTTATGTAAGTGTTACTGGTATTAAAGTGGTATTATTGCAAAGTCCATGCATCTGTGGCAAAAGGCACAGTGCATCAAATTCCCCAGTGTTCTGCTCAATCAATAACTGGGATGAATTTCAAAATAAAACATAGCACTGATAATTTAAAGTATTGGTCAGTTGTTTCTTATAAACACCATTGCACCAACGGACATGACTAAGACCAACCTGTTTATTTGACAGTAATATTGAAACTATGTTTGACTATAAACAGTCTTACTGAAGGCTTGAGGTGTTTGTTTAGTATAACAGGATGTGGCAACTGTATTTCATTATTGCACAGAAGAACCTCATATTATAATATCTGATCTGGATGGGGAGCAAGACCAATGTTGGCTAGAAGTGTGATCCAGGTGCAGAAGGCTGTGAGCTACAAAACTGAAATGAAAAAGGGGGAAAAAAGTAGCTGACAGGAGGTTTTTGTATTGAGAAACAATGGAATATAGCACCGTGTGGCTAGCAACGCAGAAATACACTGCACTGCTGTTTGGGTTGAGACCTTTAATTGTCAATGTGCAGGTCTCGCCTTTAGTTGAACGCCCAGTCATCGTCACATTTACTCCAGTCTCCGGATATTCTTTATCGACATTCATGTATCCCAGGAGCTGCAGCTCATTATTCTTTGATTGCTTGTACCAAAAGATTCGGGTATAGTCCTGGATATGATGGACACATTTGATTTTGGCAACTGTTTCTTCAGATGTGTAGAAAGATTCAGCAGGAGTCTGTTGGACTTTGTCAATGTGAGAAGACCCTGCTGAAACACATATGTCTGCATTAAGGAGACTAATGCAAAACAATTATGCAGTAATAGAATATTTTAATTATAGACCTAATTAGCAACTTAAATAAAAATAAAAGAAACAATAATATTTACCTGAAACCTGTACAAGTCTAAAGATTAAACACAAGAAGATGATCATGATGCAGTGTTTTCTGAGTCTCAGTCTATTTGATACTGAGTTTCTGCCTTACTGTAGGCTGGTATGGCGATTACTGTATTCCTACTTCAGAGGAAACCCTCCCACTATGTAAGCATACAGAACCTTTAAAGGTGGGTTGTATCTCATCACTTCCTCTTTTAACATTAAAGCCAACTACTCGTGCACACCACTCTGGACCAAAATGTGTGAGAAGCAAAAAACCCACACAAAGCAGTTTAATAAAGCTTGCTTTTTACCCTAGGTAGTGTTGTAAGCTCTAGATGTAAAACCTTCAACATCACACACGAAGCCAGTATTTTCATACCTGAACAGTTTCCTTCTTTTCTCTGATACTACTAATTTGATAGTATTAATATACTGTTCAGCTTTTGTGTATTTGGATAATTAAACAACAGATAAGGCTTACTTAAAGTACAATAAAATTGAGGATTGGAGTCATCACTGCAGTCCAATCCTCAAGTTTAATTTACTGCAGACATATTGAATATTGAGGATGCTTTTTATACCAGGATGTGGTAACTTGAATGCTGCATTCTTGTTCATAATGAATCTTAAATGTTAATATGTGATCTGGGTTAGAGGACAAATGCGTGCTGGTTTGAAGTGTACAGATACATGGGGCTGTCAGCTGAAAACTGAATTTGTTAGTAAGGGGTAAACGAAATGCTGCAGATTTGTTTTTTGTTTTTTTCTATAACGGGACATGATAGCAAATGTTGCTTTGCTGCTCATGAGGAACTTTCTATTGTGATATCTGATCTTTGTGACACCAACATTGGTTATACTGGCTGATTCCAGGTGTGAGAGGCTGTGAGCTGTAATACAGATATTAAAAAATGTGTTTGATAGGTTTTTGTATGGAAGTCTAGCGATGTGCACTACTGTGGTAACTAGCAGCACAGAAGTACACCCCACTGCTGCTCAGTTTGGTTTCCTTAATCGTTAATGTGCAGTTCTTGCCTTGACTTGCACTCCCTTCCATCACCACATTAACTCCAGCCTCTGGATTACCTCCTGTTAAAACCATGTATCCCAGCAATTCTAATTGTTTCTTTGACTGTTTGTACCAGAGGATTTGGTTATAGCTTGAAATATTATGCGAGCAGGAGATTTTAGCATCTTCTCCATTTGTGTAAATATCAGCTGGAGTCTGGTAGACTTTGTCGCTGTAAGAGGAACCTGTTGGACAGATATCAACCAAAAGTAAGAGACAATTCATTAACTTAAAAGTTAAAAATTATGTATTTAAAAATTCAATTTATATCCTGTTATATTTCTAATACTCTTTAATTCTGGCTTAAATATATTCAGCACAATTATGCTTTTACCTGATACTAGAATACAGTTTAAATGACAGCTCAGGAGTAGAATAATCACGATCATCATCTCGCTATGAAAGGTGTTGTATGGTTAAAGTAAGACTAAATCTGCTTTAGAGCAAACAGTCATTCAGTGGGTGGAGCTTATTATTAGAACTGTCATGGTGTCAGCCTTCTTCAATTTACAAGTCATTGCAATGATATACTGGAGCGCCATGACAGGAAATGTTACAGGTGCACAGGGCTGTGAACTCTGAGAAGAGATGAAAACTGATGATTGGAAGGTTTATGTATTGGGGAGCAGTGATACATCGCACTGTGTGACTAGCAGCACAGAAGTAAACTGCACTGCTGTTCACAATGAGTCCTTTAATTGTTAGAGTGCAGGTACTGCCTTGAATTGCACTCCCACTTATTTCCACATTGGCATCAGTCTCTGGATATCCATCATTCACATTCATGTATCCCAGGAACTGCATCTGATCGTTCCTTGATTGCTTGTACCAGAGGATTTTATCATAGTACTGAAAGCTGTGAGAGCAGCTGATTTTAGCTGTTTCTTCAGCTCTGTAGTATATTTCTGCAGGATTCTGCTGGACTTGGTTATGGAGAGAAGAACCTGTAAGATGATTTATACAAAAAATATTTTCAGGACAGGAGTTTAAGACAAGAACAACAATTTTTTTTCATTACATAAAATACAATTCTTGAATAACTGGTACTCATAAACACATTATCCATTTGAAATACAAGGAACAATTAAGAATTTATTACCTGAAACCAGAATAACGTCAAAGCTTAGCAAGAAAAAATATATCATGATGCTGTGTTTTCTGACATCAGTCTGTGTAATGTTTCTGTAACAGTGTGTACTGATTCCATCTCCTTATAGCCCCTCCCATCAGGGAAGTAGCACAACCTTTAAGATGGGCTGTATGGCCTAGTATTTCCTCCACTTCTTGACACTAACCAATCAACTACCACTACACACCACATTTAGAAATGTGCATAATAACTCTTGCGGGTAAAAATGACTGTTTAAGCTCCAAAGTAATCATATTTCTCGGTAGCTGAGCAACTCACAAACACGCATACGACTGCAGCCAGTTTAGACTGCTGGGTTGAAAGTGATACACAAATGTTACTAGTACCATGTTGATATGATTGCAATCAGACTTTTATTGACTCCTGTCCCATTATAAAGGTCTACCTATAGATATCCTGTCACTGTGTCAAAGATAGTCATGCAGTTGTAAGAAGCTTTGAACTGTCTGATATGACTAGTAACTCTCCTACTCTGTGCTAAAGACCAACACAAAAATACACTGCACTTATTTGCATTTCCATTCATCTTGACATCAACTTCACCCTCTGGAATTCATGACTTCCTAATACATATTAAAGAAAGATTTGGCTGCTTGGACATGAACCTGTGAGAAATGACAAAAAAACCTTTTTTAAAGATCACAATAACAATGGAAGCACGACTCAGTGCAAGGCTGGGATGTTAAGAGGCTTGTGAGTTCATTATCATTGTTTTAAGACATGCATCTTATAAACACTTATAAAGCCCTTTCTTTGTCTGCTTAAAACTGCATTTAGTTATAAGATCTGAAGGCTACATGAGCAGTAGATTTTTGAGCAATAAGAGCAGCCTTGTTTGTGTCAACGAAACAAAAACAGTGAAACAATAAAGAAATGTTCATCTGAACCCCAAAGATGAGAGCTGATTCAACTGAGAATCAGTCAAGTTTACTGTGTTTACATCTTTTTAGGTGCTGATTATATCGACCTCTGTAAAAACAGATCCAAAATTCAAAGTATTTAAACTTTTTTCTAAAATAACTACTTCGTTTAAAGGTCATCAGTCACAAATTCAACAAATTCAATTCAACAAGTTGATAATGACGTGTGAGAATTTGTAACATCTTCGTGTTCTTGCTGAAATAAGACAGTGCACATGTTTTGAATACTGGAGGATGTGGTGGTTTAAATAGTGCATTGCTGCTCATGAGGAACATTCTGTTGTGATATCTGATCTTTGTGAGACCAAGATTGGTTATAATTGTTGACTCCAGGTGTGAGGAGCTGTACAAAACTTGTGGTGTTAGGTTTTTGTATAGAGGTGGAGTGATTTGCAGCGCTGTGGAAACTAGCTGCACAAAAATACACTCCACTGCTGCTCGGTTTGATATCCTTAATCGTTAATGTGCACTTCTCGCCAGTTCTTGCACTTCCATTCATCATCACATTCACTCCAGTCTCTGGGTTGTCGTTGTTTAAATACATGTATCCCAGAAATTGTAGCTGTGTCTCTAACTGTTTGTACCAGAGGATTTGGTTATAGCTTGGAATACTGTGCGAGCAGTAGATTTTAGCATCTTCTCCTCTTGTGTAAATGTCAGCTGGATCCTGGTCGACTTGGTCACTTAAAGAGGAACCTGCTGAAGAGATATCAATCAAAGTAAGCCACAACATGTAAGAATATGCCTTAAAATTATGCTACTTAAAAAATACAAATATACCAACATTATAATAATAGTGTAGTTTCTTATTAAAATGCACTTAATGTATTCATTGTATTACCTGAAACCAAAATACAGTTAAAATAAATGCTCAGAAGTAGAGTAATCATGATGCTGTGAAAGATGTTCTCAGTTGTGATGAGAAAACAAACTCAAGTAAACCATCATTCAACAGGTGGAGTCTAATTATGTCCTCAGCTGATATCATAGCTCTGACAGCCATGACTACACATTCAGCCTACCGGTTCAGTATAAAAGTCAAAGATAGACTGCCACCTTATGACAGGAAACATTACAGGTTCAAAGAGGCTGTGAGCTGTGAGAAGAGCTGAAGTTGGTTATTTGGGAGATTTAAGTGAAATGGAGCAACCTCGTTGTTTGTAAAAGTGACAGTAAAAACAATTTATAGCTGAAATCAATATAACTTTAAAGGGTGAATAGGAAGATGATGACACTGATGACAAATTTTATCTCTTTATAATTTGTAGATGTTACACTTGTGAACAAAATGTACATTTGTTTTAGACTTCTTTCAACAGTGTTGTTGCTTGTAGTTTAATGACTTAAACTACAATGAAGTTGCTTTTCAATTCTTTTTTTCCTTGTTTAGTGACAGTTTATTTTAGTACTGAACAAGTGCATTAAAGTCAAGTTCAGTGTGTTAAGTGAAAATTCAAAGGACAGCTGAATGGTGATTATCACTGAGAGAAGATCGGTGCGTTTATGTATCTGCAATTAATCAACATCTTCTGTCTTTGCAGAGTTCTCTTCTCTTTAAGAGCAGAGCAAAAATCTACAATAAAAT